TACAATTAGTCATAAATCGCTAATAATCTTCCTCCCCTTTTTTACTTGGTAATTGTCACTAAGTGATGAATATTTCCTAACAATCAACCAGTTGTTACGTTAGACCTTGAGCCCAAAACGCAATGAAAACACTCATTTTGTGAAGTTTGAATCAGTTTCCGTTGTGAGTATGCAGTTGCCAGGTGTATGGTTCGTGTTCTGAGATTCAATTGAATTCAAAACTGACGTGTTTCGGAGCTACTCTTTCACTAATGCAGATTGTTGATATTACAAATTCAGAGCTTGAAGAAATGCAGTAATGTTTGTGGCAAAACCTGACATTGTTTTCCAACAATTATAATCAGAAATCAAACGTCAAACTAAAAAGTCATCCATAGGTGAAAATCCACGATCGTTTCAGCCCCATTACTATTAGGATCAAAATGAAAATCCAGAACACCGTATATTTGCACTTCTACTAACAAAAGCATATTATGTAAAAAAGTATTTAAACAATCGACGAGGAGACAATAGTCGTAAAATGGCAATAAATAAGATAAATTGTGCACTCATAACAACAGCAAAAATGAAGAAAGTCAAGTTCCATAACGTTTTCTTGTGACTGTCATCAGTGGAACGCCGTCACATAAAAATGTAATCAGGTTATGTTTGTAGGTGTATTGCGTTTAATGTGGCGTTTCTCAAACAATGCCTGATTACATTTTTATGTGACGGCGTTCCACTGATGACAGTCACAAGAAAACGTTATGGAACTTGACTTTCTTCATTTTTGCTGTTGTTATGAGTGCACAATTTATCTTATTTATTGCCATTTTATGTAAAAAAGAGAAGAAAATACATTAGAACGAGTTAAGCAGCAACTATCCACGACTGTAACAAGATGATAAACGGTCAGAAAGTGCGATAATAGGGCACAAAACTGACAGGCTACTGAGACCTTCAGAGACCCGAGACCTAGCTCTAACACATCTCCAGTGCGCAAACGTTCTGCATAACTCGTTCCCGTGTGTTTTCTTCTCTTTTTCACACTTACTGTGACTTAGCACTGGCTCAGTATCCGAGTTAAAAAGCATATGCAACTATATATAATTATGTGAATAGTATATTATGTGAATAGTATATTATGTGAATAGTATATTATGTGAATAGTATATTATGTGAATAGTATATTATGTGAATAGTATATTATGTGAATAGTATATTATGTGAATAGTATATTATGTGAATAGCTGCTGTTTTTGGCTGAAACGAGACGTCATTTTTGGTCATGTACATGTATAGTCACACGCTGTGGATGCACTGGGAATCTTTAAAGTGGACTTTGCCATTTATGGGTGCACAGCAGATCTTATAATTATGTCCCTTTTATGGGTGCAGAGTGATTCCTTAAAGTGCACATGCCCCTTTGCGGGTGCAGGGTCAGCCTTAGGGTGTAGGTGTACTGGCAGACTGTGTGCATAGGCAGACTGTGTACATAGGCAGACCAGCCTCTGTGTGTATGTGTACTGGCAGACTGTGTGCATAGGCAGACCAGCCTTTGTGTGTAGCTGTACTGGCAGACTGTGTGCATAGGCAGACCAGCCTTTGTGTGTAGGTGTACTGGCAGACTGTGTGCATAGGCAGACCAGCCTTTGTGTGTAGGTGTACTGGCAGACTGTGTGCATAGGCAGACCAGCCTTTGTGTGTAGGTGTACTGGCAGACTGTGTGCATAGGCAGACCAGCCTTTGTGTGTAGCTGTACTGGCAGACTGTGTGCATAGGCAGACCAGCCTTTGGGTGTAGGTGACTGGCAGACTGTGTGCATAGGCAGACCAGCCTTTGTGTGTAGGTGTACTGGCAGACTGTGTGCATAGGCAGACCAGCCTTTGGGTGTAGGTGTACTGGCAGACTGTGTGCATAGGCAGACCAGCCTTTGTGTGTAGCTGTACTGGCAGACTGTGTGCATAGGCAGACCAGCCTTTGGGTGTAGGTGTACTGGCAGACTGTGTGCATAGGCAGACCAGCCTTTGTGTGTAGGTGTACTGGCAGACTGTGTGCATAGGCAGACTGTGTGCATAGGCATCTGGTGCTTTGCTTGTCAGCTGCACACTCTTGGTTTCATGCACCCTTGATAAAACATTGGAGAGATCTGAGAAAGGGGGCGGCAGAATAGTCCAATGCAGGCCTGTCGCACCGACTTTGGAGGTGGGGTGGCCATGAAAGGGGGTGGCGGTCCTCCCTGGGGAAAAAATTCTAAAATTCTAAAATTGAAGCAAATTGCAAGCATTTCCGGGCATTTGCTGTCATTTCGGAGTAATTACCATGAAAGACTTTTTGATTCTGCAACAAACCAAGAAGACGCTACGATCGGGGACAAACATTACCCTTCCCCGGGAAAACATTTCAGAAATTGAAGCCAATTGCAAGCATTTCTAGGCATTTGGTGCCATTTCAGTGTAGCTGCAATTAAAGACTTTTTTGTTTCTGCAACAAACCACGATTGGGAACAAGGATTTGCCACGTTTAGGCTGAGCTGCGATCATTAACATTGTGCTTTGTTGCAGCGTGCTCCAAAAAAACGGCCGAAAAAGTGGGGCGGCCTCGGCCGCCCCAGCCACCCCGGCTGTGACGGCCTTGCAATGTGTGACGAAGAAAAGAAGGCGGAAAAGTCACCCCCTTCAGGGACTGTCGAGAAAGAGTTGTGCAAAAGTTATGGTGGAATGCAGTAGAGTGTTTAGCGTGGTGGATAAGAGCTTTTTATTTTTTTATTTTTTATTTTTTTATATACAGTGGTCCCTCTATAATCCGGCACCATTTGTGCCACGAAAATCTGCTGGATTAGGGAGGGTGCTGGATTAACAAATCTGATTTACTGCTGCAATGTACATGAAGGGGACATTTTGGCTACTGAAAATTGTGCTGGTTTATCGAGGGTGCTGGATTATAAAGTGCCGGATTAGAGAGGGACGACTGTACTATGTGCACATCCCTACAAAGTAATAGGGGTAATAAAAGAGACAAAGACAACAAAGGAGTAGTAGGTGCTACAAGAGCTGTGCTGGTCAGGCGCAGTGCACTCTTCCGACCATTTCGGTCTCGGAATCGACATGGACTGTGCGGGCCAAGGGGGCATACTATGAATGATAGACTTATGGGAGCATCTGAGAATGCTGTGTGTGTGTGCGTGCGTGCGTGTGTGGCAATGTGTGTGGGAATGTGTGGGAATGTGTGGGAATGTGTAGGTAAACATGTGCCTGTGCGTTCATGCATGTGGGTGTACGCAAGCATTTGTGTGCATTTGCGTGTAAACGTGTGTGTGTGTGTGTGTGTGTGTGTGTGTGTGTGTGTGTGTGTGTGTGCCAGCTAGTTCGGTTGGTGGGTACGCTTATGCCTGATTGTGTTGGGTCTGTTGCCAACGGGCTCGGCTACTTGATGGTGTAATGTTGTACCTGCCACCTTTGTTGGTTCCAGGGTTCATATACTTTCTATTTGAAGTATACATACCCGTTAATTTAACCATGGACTGCTTCTGGCTAGATTAACTCTTGGGTAATCAATGGTGCTAGTGAAGCTTATATCAGATCCACTCTGATTTAGCCACCCACACTAGTAGCAAGTATTACCTTCACTGGGGGCAGGGGTAACTGCAGTTGGATCCCTGAACGTGACCCTGATGCCGTCAATCCTTTTTCTGCACCTTGTCCTCACCCACTTACTGAGGTGCGGTGAGCCCATAAGTGAGATCATTTTCAAGTCCACCCAGAGTTTTGGGGATTTCAGGGGGTGTCGGCCGTTGGGCGGTTCAATAGCCAATTGAGTCATCTTTCCAAGATTCCTTTTGAGTCTCTCTCCCCTCTCCCGGGAAGACCCACGTGACCAGTTTTGGCAGGGAGCAACAAGTACAAGTACAGGTGTGTGTGTGTGTGTGTGTGTAAAAATAGTTTTTGCCAAGAGGAAGCAGATTTGTTAGCTCCTGGTTTTCTCTTTGTTGGCCTCCTCCATGGGGCGGCCCTGGCCTTCTGGGCAGGGTTGTCCCTGGGTATTGAGTGGCAGTAGGCTTTTCATGCCTTGCAGCCGGTTTCGCGCGCGCGCGCGCGCGCGTGGAAGGACATTCAGGGAGCTGACGACCAGGGCGGGTAATTTGTTGCTGTCACCGTCTTCTTGCGTCCTTTCCGCATCCTCTGCAGTGGTGTGGCGAGCCCTCGGATCAACCCCCAGCCAAAAATAATGCAGTGGCGTTCGGCAAAGCAAGTGGACTCCTGGATGAGAAAGGAAACAGGTCAGACTCACAGAAATTTCTGCCTGCGCGGTGTATCGCCGGAATCGTGAATTTGTCCTTGGTCGTGTTGTTTGGACCTGAGTGGCCAGTCGTCGTGCGGCGATGGTGTAGTGTTATTAGCTTGCTGTGCACACTCCTCATCGCTCGTGAAAGTACGTCTTGTGGAGCCCTTGTGCGACGTTCGGTGCCCACCCTCCAGCTCAAGATTGTGTTTTCCTCATTCACGAAGGCCGAAGCAGCACGCGTACAGACGTTTGTTGAACAGAACATCATGTTCACATTTATTTTTTATATTGTTCCTTTTCAGTCGTTGCATGTTATAGTGGACCTGCAGCAGACTGTTCATCTGGTTTGTGATATTTCTTTCCTCAGTTGGTGAGTTCTTTTCCATCAATATGGCAGCTTGTTTTGATTTCCTTTTTTTTCAATTCATGCTGCTGTACTTCCTGTTTTGTTTTGCGCCACTGCCCCTCACCTTGCGCTCAGTTCTCTGAGTGGAGGGTGGCGTGACCCCACTGGGGTAGCTGATTGATAGTAGTAGTAGTAGTAGTAGTAGTAGTAGTAGTAGTAGTAGTAGTAGTAGTAGTAGTAGTAGTAGTAGTGTGTGTGTGTGTGTGTGTGTGTGTGTGTGTGTGTATGTGTGTATGTGTCTGTGTGTATGTGTGTATGTGTGTGTGTATGTGTGTGTCTGTGTGTGTCTGTGTGTATGTGTGTGTGTGTGTCTGCATCTTTTGAACAGAGGTGACACGGTGTGAACAAACCTGCTCCGACATCAGTATATTTCCTCTTCAGAGAATAAGCGCTAGCGAGACAGAGGGGGTGTGCAAAGAGAGAATTGGAACTTACAAGTATGCACGTGTTGCCAGTGTGGAGAGCGAGAAGTTTGGATGTGTGTCTCGCCATCTAGAGGAGACCCATATGGAAGATGAAGCCATATTTGGTGGATACGGTAAAACCTCCGGGTTACATCGTGTTAGGTCCAATGGCACAACAAGAGATTCGAACAATGCAGAAGAGAAGGCTTTTGTTGTGTGCGAGTACGGACGACAGTGCAGTAAGTCCAACTTGTATTTCCTCCACTGACTGGTCTTGCACAAGTATTGCGAAAGAATTGCATAACTTATAGCGAAGCAAAGTTCCAAGGAACTACAAGTTACACTATAATGTCCACTAACACCACCAGTTACTAAACAATCCGCTCATGCGATAACATTGCACGACACTGACCGACTGACGGACGGTACTAACGCTTTCCAACTAACTAGCGTAACTTGCAGTTCCTTGGTCCTTTTCTTTAATATAATCCTTGGCTCTCCATCCGAGTCTATAGTTGCATAACTGTATGCCGAACATGAAGCCTTTTTGCTGGCTAACCTGGCTGTATCGTATTGGCTGCCGCAGAAGTCGTATGTTTTTGTGCATTCATGGGTGCATTCATGGGTCCATTCATGGGTGCGTTCATGGGTGCGTTCATGGGTGCGTTCATGATGCAGGCTGGTAATAAGATCGGTTACCACAATACGATCGGCAACGCCATCTTGTGTATTATACTGTATGTGCGAGATTTACAAGCCTCCCTCCTTTCCCCCCCCCTCCCCCCTCCTCCCCCCTCCTCCCCCCTCCTCCCCCCTCCTCCCCCCTCCCCCCCCCCCCCTCCCCCCTCCCCTCCCCCCCCTCCCCCCTCCCCCTCCCCCCTCCCCCCTCCCCCTCCCCCCTCCCCCCCTCCCCCCCTTCGAATAGAGGCCCTCTCAAATGGAGCCCGTGTGTCAGAGGGAATCGGAATAATAAAGCCCCGTCTCGTCTAAAAGCCCGGGGCTATAATCGAATGCACAATGTCCGTACCATGCAGTGCAGTCAGGGCCAGTCAGGGCCAGTCAGGGGTACTTTACAGTACAACAATCGAGTTAGTCATTGTATGTACTGATCAGCATGAATAGTGTGAAACAATCGGTGTTTCTATTTAAAAATTAAGTCCCCTCTCGAATAAAGCCCTCTCTGAAATATAACCCCCTCCTCCCCCCTCCTCCCCCCCCACCCTCTCGATGTGTTTTCTGGAAAAATAGAGCCCCGGCGCTTCTATTTGCGCCTATACCATAGTGCTTGGCATCTGGGTCTGCCTTTAGTTCCAGATATTGCACATTATGATAACTGCTGGGCATGGGGTTCTTCTGGGTGCTTATATCATGACGACTCATCAAGCCACGGACTGCCGAGAAACTCATTGTTACTGCAATTTTCGTGCAAAAGCTCTCATCACACAACTTCTTTATATCTCGCGGCTGTCCATTACCCGATGTCTTATGTGACATTTATCCATATTGTTATTTTGATGTCGAGCACCCTTTTCGAGGCTGTGGGACCAGACCTTACTCTGTATTTATCTATGTGTACATGGATATATCCAAGAGTAAATAACCCCAAGAGTGTGCAATTGCCTGCACAACCTCTATTCTGTGCTGTGACGGCAGAACTTCACATCACGTGACATGGTTCAAAAGGTTACACTGGCAAGCAGTGCAAAGTGACCACAAGAGAGTTGTACCCAAAGCCGGGTTACGTACAACCCCGTATCAATCATGCACAGAGTGCAAAAAATTATGTGTACGGGTTCATCACGTGATGTGAAGTTCTGCCGTTGCAGACCCCATAGCTGGAGTTGCACACTCTTGGGTGTTATGTACTCTTGATATATCCCATAACCATTCTGGGGATAGGGGTCCCTGGTTCGAGTCCTGGTGGTGATGGTCAGGTTTTTTCAGACTTTTTCCGTTTCTGTCTTTCCCTCAAACAAGTCAATATTTTTCTCTTGAGTTTGTAAATTGAGCAGGGACTGTGTCTGGTGGTGTTGATAACACACATCGAGAGTTCACGAGTGTGTCTTTGTTGATACATGTGTGTGTGTGTGTGTGTGTGTGTGTGTGTGTGTGTGTGTGTGTGCATGCTTGTGTGTGTGTGTGTGTGTGTGTGTATGTGTGCGCGTACGTGCATGTGTGTGTGTGTGTATTTGTGTGTGTGTGCGCGCGTGCGCGTGCATGTGTGTGTGTGTGTGTGCATGTGTGTGCGTGTGTGTGTGTGTATGAGCGCCGCCCGCCTGTGTATTCTCGTGTGATTTGCGCATCTGTTTGTATTGGTCCTTTTGAATAGTGACACACTGCAAACAAACATGCTCGGACATCAGCATATTATTTCCTCTTCACAAAGTAACGGCTCGATATGCAGACCATGAATGCTATGTTAGCAAGGATCTGCTCGGCAAATACGAAATGGCTCATGTTGCCAGTCACGAGAGCGAGATTTTCGGATGTGTGTCCCGTCATCTCAGGGAAACGGGTATGCAGGCTGAGAGTGTGTTTGCCGAACACAGCCAATACCATCACCCCAGAGTTAGAACGAATGGTGTGGCCCGAAATGCTATTCATCTGGACGAGCAGGCATACGTTGTATGCGAGTATCGCAGTCGTTGCAGTAAGTCTTTGTTTCTGTCCCAGGCCCGTCGCACCGACTTTGGAGGTGGGGCGGCCATGGAAGGGGGTTCCGGGGGTCCTCCTGCAGGAGAAAATTTCAAAAATTGAAGCCAATTGCAAGCATTTCCGTGTATTTGGTGCCATTTCAGTGTACGGTAACTACAATGAAAGTCTTTTTGATTCTGCAACAAACGAAGAAGATGCTACGATCGGGGACAAACATTACCTTCCCCCGGGAAAAAACTTCAAAAATTGAAGCCAATTGCAAGCATTTCCAGGCATTTGGTGCCATTTCAGTGTAACTGCAATGAAAGACTTTTTTCTTCAACAAACCACGATCGGGGACAAGGATTTGTACTTGTCACGTTTGCGCTAAGCTGCGATCATTGTGCTTTGTTGTAATCAGGGAGTAGTACATGTACTATACCTACGGTATTGTACTACTCCCTGATTGTAATGTGCTCCAAAAAAAAAAAAAAAAAAAAAAAAAACGGCCGAAAAAGTGGTGCGACCTCAGCCGCCCCGGCTGTGACGGCCTTGTGTCCTTACAGAACTATTGCAGTGTTTCTGCTAAGTATTTTCCCTAGCCCCTTTTCACTTCCCTTTCGTCTCATCCACCCTTCGAGGAAACTTGTCGCGAACCATGGACATACCTTTACATAAAGCACTCGAAGCAGACCATATTTTCCTTAGTGCCCAATTTTCTTGTGAATCAAGACTGAAGAATATTTACGAGGGGAGAGCGATAATATAGGTGAGTCGGAGTGCATGCCTGTAGCAGTAGTGTGCCATGAAAGTGTCTTGCGTACAGCATCAGCAAAAAATATACAAGCGATAAATATACAAACGCATCGAAATAAGCTCCCAAGGAGTAGCGAAGAATCAAAGAGAAGCAAGAAGAGCACCAAGTTGTGGAACTAAAACAGCTCCACGTGCATGTAGCTGAAAGGGTGACACATAAAGATACGCACTGTGAAACGAGTCCAACTGTCAGCATGAAAATGGATAGTGAAGGCCATCAAAGATGCCGATAGTCGTACACACAGTCTGTGTTGGATGTCAGTGCGTGTGCAAGCCAAAGTGCATGGGTTCAAAAGGTGCCCGGAACGGAAACGAAGTGCAAGGTGAGAAAATGGTGCCCAGAATTGAACCTTAGAAATGCAACGAAGTGCAAAGTGAAAAAGGGGTATCACAAAGGGATGCGAGTGATTGAACGTACAAATCATGCACTGAACAAGGATACATGTATACGTAGCTGTGAATTCTTGGTTATATACATGCATTGTGCTCGTGACTACGAATAAATCCGATCGCATTCGCGACAAAACTCCCCCGATAAGTATCCATTTCCTTTTTGGAGAATCCTTCAATTAAAGTCTAAATGAAATGAACAATGAATTGTGTAATGCTTATGCAATCATTTTTATTTTCTTTTCTTTATGCAATCATTGCACAACTACAGTCAATTCATGAAACACATGGACTCTGGCAGGCCTGACTCTGCCGAGCTCCCGTTTTTGGCGATTTTTTGTACATGGTGCCGTGCCGTGAAATTTGAAACTTGAAAATGGGTCCCAACTTTCTACCTCGACTTGTGTTCGAACCACACAACCACACAACCACACAACCACACAATGTACTGCTGAAAATAGAGTGAAATAGCGCCAGTAGTTTCTTGCCGGTCCTTTTTCTTCTTTACTATAAATTTGTCCTTGGCTCTCCATCCGAGTCCATCCTTTGAAGGTGTTACAAATAAATTTAATCTCAGGCCATCCTTGGCAAAGATTGGCTCACATTTCGCTGCAACACCCCCCCACAGCGTCGGGATCAGTGTCATGTATAGTGGTCACGGTCATCTGCATCACAGTAGTGTGAGAAATGAGTAGGCAGGCATGAAGGCCGGGAGCTTCAGCCCACTCTCACCTGTCTCATTGCCCTTTTCTGCATAGACAATGAACATGGCCGCTGAGGAGACACACACACATGTTGATTTTAAAATGTGTGAAGTAAAATTCACACAAACAAACAATGAAAAAGGAGAAGGACGAAATATTACGAGTTATGACTAATTTTGCCCATCTCCTTTTTTTAACCATAATTAAATTGGCTCACCATCTGCTGAGTTCAAACAAACAATAAACAAACAAATATTGGGTTTCCTGAACCACGCCGACATTGGTCAAGAAGAAGACAGGGAGTTGCATAACGCCAGGGGCATGAGTACATAACCGCCGCGTGTTATGTACTCATGCTACCGGTAGTCATGTATGCTGGCGAGTGCTGCAATTGGCAAGCTACAATGACAAATGAGGATAGGAAACCGGCCAGAATGTATTTTAGATCAACTCTTGTGAAATCAATGTTGCTACTCACTAGTAAATAAGATCCACTCTGATGTACCCTTTCTCTTTTTCTCTTGTATCTACTTTTTTCCACAATATCCTTTAACATGTTATTCACAGTGGGTCCAATGTTATTAGGCATTTTGCCTGTTTTGATTTCCACTATAAATAAAGTATACAACAACAACAACAAAACCCAACCAGAGTCATAGTGAATATTACCATCCCTGGAGGCAGGGGTAAAAGCAGTAGGATCCCGGGACCGATACCCTGATGCTATCATTAATTTTCATTTTTCTTCACCTTTTCCTTGCCCACTTACTGAGGTGTGAATAAGCAACAAGTACAGTCAATTGTCCTATCCGGTAAACCCTAGCGGCACATGCAGCATATCCGGTAAACCCTAGCGGCAGATGCAGCGTATCCGGTAAACCCTAGCGGCAGATGCAGCGCCTAACGGTGGGGGTGAGTGGATAAGTCTCACAACCACTGGCACAAGTGCCAAGAAACCACATTAGAGAGGTTCGGCTACAATAACGCGTACGTGACGCAAGTGTTGGCCACACGTTGCAAAGCCACGCGGGTGCAGAGTTTGATTCCGCTTCGCGTTGTGGCAAGCCAAGCCGCATCTCCGGGACAACCAAAATGGCGACATCGACAGCTCGATTTTGGTATAATGGATATCGACCGTTGGTTCAAAATAATTGATTTTACTCAAGCGCAGACTGTGGTTTTTGTTCCATTTTTTTCAGCTTGTTGCTTGCTATCTTCAATCATGGATTTGTGGGACGCTCTTGTCCAAGTGGCAGCCGCTGAGCTGGCGGTCGCGAACTTGGAGCTATGACGCCGCATGAATTCCAACACACCCGACCAAACGTTGCTAGTGAATTTAATTAAATGGCCGGTCCCTAGTTGCCTCCTCTGTCAGCAAGACCACATCATCAGCCAGGCTGAAACGGAGTTGGGGTTTCTTCCCCTGGGCCACTGGAGATGCAATGACGTCCAGGGTCAGTGGAGAATCCGGAGCTAGACTAGATTCCGCCATCCTTCACATATCACAGAAAAAACAGAAGTGAAACCTTCGACAGCTGCACGTGCCTTGTCTTTTCGCATGAGAGATGTTTGTACTTCGCGGGGTTTTCTCCAGTGATGTCATGGTGTTCTCCAGTGATGTAATGGTTTTCTCCAGTGATGTCATGGTGTTCTCCAGTGATGTCATGGTGTTCCTTATTCCCACACTCGAGTGCTGCTCAGAACGAAGGTTCTTGAAAAACTCTTCGCGGAGCACGATCCGTGTAGATCGCCAGATTCACGTCAAGTCGTGAGCTCCAGACCGCGTACTTTTCATCCTCGAACCCAGTTGATAGGTCTACACGTCGAGTTTGGCCCAAAAACGCGTAGCCGAACCTCTCTATTAGCCACATCCATGTACTGAGGTGTGGTGAGCCCATAAGTGGGATCCTTTCTAAGTCCACCCAGAGTTTGGTGGTTTCAGAGGGTGTTGGTCCGTACCTGTGTGTGTGTGCGTGTGTATGTGCCCACGTGTGCTCAAGGGTGTATAACTTTCTGTGCATGTGTGTGCGTGTGTGTGCGTGTGTGTTTTTGGGTGTGTTTTTGAACTTGTTGTATGTGTTGTTGATTGTGTGTGTGTGCATATCATGACTTTCAGCTTACAAGTGTACTACAGCCTACAGCAATGGCGTAGGTTTCACATCCAAACTACACTTTATACCTCAATACTATGGCTTACACTACGAAGCAGCTGTCAGGTTGTGCAAGGCCAATTATCTGAAGCTTCCATCTATAGAGGAAAGATCATGCTTGAATGATTTCCTCACCCACACCTTGGGAACCATGGGTTCCGGTTGGATTTTAACACCAGGAGCCTCAAGATATGCCCTCATAAGCCGGCCGAAACAAAATGACATGACTCAACCGCAACTAATCCCGGCATCTCAAACACTAATGATAGGCATCTGTTCAAGTAACCGGGTAAGTGACACTGTTATTTCCAACAGCCACCCGGCTTATTTTGGTGTGCATATGTATACCTTACCACCTCCAATTTCTTCTTGTGGACACGATTAGCTCAGAAATCAGAGAGCACATCACAAACTGACAAACCTCTGTTTTTTTTCTTCGAGTGATTGCACAGGCTTAATGTAAACTATAGAATATTCGCTGACTGTGACTGTATAAAAGAGAAGAAACACACGAGAACGAGTTATGCAGCAAATATCCACGACTGTAACAAGATGATAAACGGTCAGAAAGTGCGATAATAGGGCACAAAACTGAAAGGCTACTGAGACATTCAGCGACCCGAGACCTAGCTCTTAACACATCTCCAGTGCGCAAACCAACAGCCTTCCAACTTGGAAGGTTCATGGTTACGTAGGACCGAAGAGGGAAGTTTTTTAAATCTATTACTGGCTCAGTATCCGAGTTTACACTCAGACTGTAGTTGAATAATTCTTCACGTGCACAGGTTCCACACAACATCAGGTTCCACACAACATCAGGCTTCACACAACATCAGGCTCCACACAACATCAGGTTCCACACAACATCAGGCTTCACACAACATCAGGCTCCACACAACATCAGGCTTCACACAACATCAGGCTTCACACAACATCAGGCTCCACACAACATCAGGCTTCACACAACATCAGACTCCACACAACATCAGGCTCCACACAACATCAGGCTCCACACAACATCAGGCTCCACACAACATCAGACTCCACACAACATCAGGCTCCACACAACATCAGACTCCACACAACATCAGACTCCACACAACATCAGGCTGCACACAACATCAGGCTCCACACAACATCAGACTCCACACAACATCAGACTCCACACAACATCAGACTCCACACAACATCAGGCTCCACACAACCGTCAGGCGAAATAGCACGTCATAGTACATTTGAGATCAGCGGGAAGAAGATGACGACGTCCACTAATTTAGGATCTGTGCACACGAATCTGCTGTGTGTGTGACTCTGTGTGTCAGCTATGATATCATCTTCTGTGGTTCCATGCCTAGCATGTACGTCTGAACCATCCTGCAAAGTTTGAATGACGTAGGTTGAGCGATCGCTCCGCGAAACATACTTTTTGAAATTCTCTTCATAGTATATCTTCCACCACTGAAATTTCGAATTTCTTCAAAAAAAGTGCTGAGAGGGGTGGCTTGCAACCTCGATATGGCTTGTTCCAGGCATGCTTTGGAGCCATCTTCTGTTGAAGTAGTGGCAGGGATCTGCCCTGCAACTGCTACAACAAAAAATGATTCCATCTGAGAAAGGGTGAGACCGCGAATCTCGGTTGAATATTGAGTATTTCAAGCCTTTTCACGACGAAGATGGAGTTCTTTTTGGAGATGGACGTCGCGGCAAAGGACATGGTGTCCGACTTCTGGCGTCTGGTGAAGCCAGGGATCATTTGTCCAGTCAGGTCGGCAGCCTAACCGTCGGTAAGCTTGTGTTTGGATCCCGTTCTGCTCGATGTGGTAGATCACAAACAATTTGATATCGCACAAATTGATCTCAGCATCGTGCGTACAGTATTTTATATTCAGAAAATCCCAAAGTGTCTCTGTGTGGCCGTCCTATGCCACGAGAAACTCCAATCAGGCTCCTATGTCCTCTGCCTTCATGATTGAATGTCCACTTCGTTTGAACAACGAACACATCAATCGAGGAGGGCTTTGCAATGAAAAATACAGCTATACTGGAGCTGAAAAAAGAAAGAAAAAACGTGCTCAGGATGAGACTCGAGTACACGCATACTCTCCCAGCAGGTGAAACGCAAATTTTTGTGAAAAATGCGTGTCGCCGACTGACCAGTAATTTCGCCTGACGATCAGGCTCCACACAACATCAGGCTCCACACAACATCAGGCTCCACACAACATCAGACTCCACACAACATCAGACTCCACACAACATCAGACTCCACACAACATCAGGCTCCACACAACATCAGGCTCCACACAACATCAGGCTCCACACAACATCAGACTCCACACAACATCAGGCTCCACACAACATCAGACTCCACACAACATCAGGCTCCACACAACATCAGACTCCACACAACATCAGGCTCCACACAACATCAGGCTCCACACAACATCAGGCTCCACACAACATCAGACTCCACACAACATCAGGCTGCACACAACATCAGGCTCCACACAACATCAGGCTCCACACAACATCAGGCTCCACACAACATCAGGCTCCACATAATATCAGGCTCCACACAACATCAGGCTCCGCACAACATCAGACTCCACACAACATCAGGCTCCACACAACATCAGGCTCCACACAACATCAGGCTCCACACAACATCAGACTCCACACAACATCAGGCTCCACACAACATCAGACTCCACACAACATCAGGCTCCACACAACATCAGGCTCCACACAACATCAGGCTCCACACAACATCAGACTCCACACAACATCAGACTCCACACAACATCAGGCTCCACACAACATCAGGCTCCACACAACATCAGGCTCCACACAACATCAGACTCCACACAACATCAGACTCCACACAACATCAGACTCCACACAACATCAGGCTCCACACAACATCAGACTCCACACAACATCAGACTCCACACAACATCAGGCTCCACACAACATCAGGCTCCACACAACATCAGGCTCCACACAACATCAGGCTCCACACAACATCAGGCTCCACACAACATCAGGCTCCACACAACATCAGGCTCCACACAACATCAGGCTCCACACAACATCAGGCCACAGCAACTCAGTACAGGAAATAAATAATCAACTATCACGGTATTAAGAATGTGTAAAGGTACTATCAAGAGTCCATAACTCCCAGGGTGTGCAACGCCACACAAATCTCTGTCACGACTCGTTTTCAACATTACGTCATCTTCATGCACATGTAGCTGCGCGCGTGCACGCCGCGACATTCGCTACACGAAAATGACGTAATGTTGAAAACGAGTTGTGACAAGACCCTATCGCTCGTTGCACACTCTGAGGGTTATGGACTTTTGGTACTAGGTTGAGACAAGGAAAGTAATCAGAACTGTCGGAAGACTCTAGGTTCAAGAATAACAACAAGCCAGACCAAGACCTCGCTGACTTCACTGCTGTGTATGCGTGCGTTCGTGCATCGAAACAACAAAACTGAACTGTGATTGTCACCGAAGTCACAGATTGCGTAGTGACAGAAATAACTAATCTGACATTAAAATATCGAGAGTACAAAAAATACATTATCGTTCGAAACGATAATCGGTGTGAGTAAACAATATCAAGACTGGAGAGACAAAGTCAGAGTCATAGAGTAGGAAGACAAAAATGACAAAGAGAAGTGAAATGTAATCACAATGCACAAGATCAGTGACCATTTCATAACATGACCATTATCACTTATTTTTATGTCATATCGAGGGAATCAAGAACATCTCGATCCCTAGTCTCGGTAGCAAGAAACACTCAGAAAAGTTGAAAAAATGAAAGGTACACAACGAAGTTATGCAGACTTTTGTTTAGTACATAAACCCTGCGTATACATAACATGATTTTTCAAATCCCAGAGATTAAACATTTTTCAAATCCCAGAGATTTTAAACATTTTTCAAATCCCAGAGATTAAACATTTTCAAATCCCAGAGATTAAACATTTTTCAAATTATTTATTATTTATTTATTATTATTCTCGTATCCGTCCCGAATGGGACTCACGACGGCAGAACTAACCGTGAGCATGTGTGTGTGAGAGTGGGAGAACGAAATGAAAAAGAAAAGAAGTCTTGTAATAAGGTCAAATTTAAGAAGAGCAGTACTAGACTAAATGGCTGAGCAGATGTTACTCCATTGTTTTCTGTCGCGGGCATAGGTGCCGAGATCACGAAGGCAGCTGGGCTTAAAAATGCAGATAGGTGTGAGGCGGACGTCTCGCTGGAGACTTGTGGTGAGGCAAGAGCGGGGTGCACCTATTCGAAAGGGCTGACTGGTAGCATATGTACAGAAAGCAGTGAGAGCAACATTCGCAGGGATGTCACTTGGCTGGCGTAATATATGTCCTAATAGCTTCCACCTGTCCCGCTTGGCCATTTCAGATACAGAGCACTGGCCAGTAACAGCATATAAATCTGCATTCGAGATGACATCTGGGTAGGTAATTCCAAGGGTACACCGCAGCTGTTTCCTATGAAACACATCTAGGCGCTTTTCTTGTGCACGGGACAGGCCATGGCAAGCAAGGTTGTAGGTCAAGATTGGTAGAACGAAAGTGTTGTATAAACGAATTTTGATGGGTGTAGAAAGCAGGTTGTGTCCCAGAGATTAAACATTTTTCAAATCCCAGAGATTAAACATTTTCAAATCCCAGAGATTAAACATTTTTCAAATCCCAGAGATTAAACATTTTTCAAATCCCAGAGATTAAACATTTTCCAAATCCCAGAGATTAAACATTTTTTCAAATCCCAGAGATTAAACATTTTCAAATCCCAGAGATTAAACATTTTCAAATCCCAGAGATTAAACATTTTTCAAATCCCAGAGATTAAACATTTTTCAAATCCCAGAGATTAAACATTTTTCAAATCCCAGAGATTATGTATTAACGAGGGACAACCTGTACTAGTAATTTTCTTTTCTTTTAGTTTTACTCTGAAACCCGGATCGCTAAATATGTCATCGCAAATTGGTCCTGATTCCGAAAACGCTAGTTCTTTTTACCCGCTAAAATTAACCTTTCTACAGTACATGATATTATGCTTGCCAATTTAGGCTGCGTTTAGATGAGAAATTTCAACCCGGGTCGAGTTCAGCCCGGGTTGAAAGTCTGTACGATAGACAAAATAGGTGAGCGTTTACATAAAGACAGTTGACCAGGGTCAATATGCCGGCAAAAAGTCCAGTTGTAGAGTCCTGTATGGTCACGGGAATCCTTTCGTGCGAAACTTATTTGCATGTGCAGAGCTATTCTAACCTGTCACAAGATACGCAGTACGATTTCTTGCCCAGGGTTGATTTCAACCCTCCCGGGGGGGGGGGAGGGAGGGTTGATTTCAACACTGGCTAAATTTCAACCCGGGTCAAGCGCAATGTGTCATGTAAACGCGCCAGTCGATCTGTGTACATGGCGGGTTGAAATCTGACTCTGGGCAATCTCGACCCAGGTTGAAATCTGACTCGGGCAATCTCGACCCAGGTTGAAATCTGACTCCGGGCAATCTCGACCCAGGTTGAAATGTGACTCCGGGCAATCTCGACCCAGGTTGAAATCTGACTCCGGGCAATCTCGACCCAGGTTGAAATCTGGATCCGGGCAATCTCTATCCAGGTTGAAATCAGACTCCGGGCAATCTCGACCCAGTTTGAAATCTGACTCCGGGAAATGCATCATGTATACACAGCCTTACATTGACTTTTGGACTAACGGCTGCAAAACAACTCTTCATTGTGAATATTTGCTTCCTTTGCCTTATGTATTTTGTGTGTGTGCTGTGTTTGTGCTGTGTGTGTGCTGTGTGTGTGTGTGTGTGTGTGTGTGTGTGTGTGTGTGTGTGTGTGTGTGTGTGTGTATGTGTGTGTGTGTGTGTGTGTGTGTGTGTGTGTGTGTGTGTGTGTGTGTGTGTGTGTGTGTGTGTCCGTGCCTATGTACAGTGGGACTCGCTCAGTAGGCAAGCGGGTGATTGGCGCAAACGGCTCGTGAAGTCCTTCACAGGCAGATAGGTGCCATGAGTGCACATACAAACGTGTACTGTAATCTGCGTGGGGACACTACTGCAGAGACAAAATGCATGTCGTGAGCACGTACATGCTGGATATCCTTCATCAAGCTGCAATTGCCATCCGAATTTCGGCACAGAACTTCAAGTTGAGCAAAATTCTCAACCTGCCTGCATTGTTTTAAACACATCAAGGCTGGTGAAGCTCCACCAAAATGGCAATATGCACTTGAGCAGATGTTGTGCCTGTCAGCTCTGCACATCCCACATGCTTAAGCAGCCTCTTTTGTTACTTTTGTGTTCTATCCGAGTGCATGATACTATTTCTATTGTCATAGTACTTATCTCTTCTTCAATTGCACTCTGAAGAGGAGTGAAGTTCTTGCTGCAGCATGCACGACTGAAGGAAGGGGAGCAGGAACAATACCCCGCTGTTTTATCGCAACCTCTTCACTGCACAGTTTACCCATTGCTCCTGTTGTTGACTACTCTCTTCTTGCCTGCCAACATCACCTGCCATTGCTCCTCTGTTCTTGCCTGCCAACATCACCTGCCATTGCTCCTGTTGTTGACTACTCTGTTCTTGCCTGCCAACATCACCTGCCATTGCTCCTGTTGTTGACTACTCTGTTCTTGCCTGCCAACATCACCTGCCATTGCTCCTGTTGTTGACTACTCTGCTCTTGCCTGCCTACATCACCTCTACCAGAGAAGGCACAAGAGTTGTCTTGTGAAACTTGTCATAATGTTGCTGTTGAGGAGCCTGAAGTGTGTGTGTGCTGTTGTGGAGCCTGACGTGTGTGTGCTGTTGTGGAGCCTGACGTGTGTGTGCTGTTGTGGAGCCTGACGTGTGTGTGCTGTTGTGGAGCCTGACGTGTGTGTGCTGTTGTGGAGCCTGACGCGTGTGTGTGCTGCTGTGGAGCCTGACGTGTGTGTGCTGTTGTGGAGCCTGACGTGTGTGTGTGCTGTTGTGGAGCCTGACGTGTGTGTGCTGTTGTGGAGCCTGACGTGTGTGTGCTGTTGTGGAGCCTGACGTGTGTGTGCTGTTGTGGAGCCTGACGTGTGTGTGCTGCTGTGGAGCCTGACGTGTGTGTGTGCTGTTGTGGAGCCTGGCGTGTGTGTGCTGTTGTGGAGCCTGACGTGTGTGTGTGCTGTTGTGGAGCCTGACGTGTGTGTGCTGTTGTGGAGCCTGACGTGTGTGTGCTGTTGTGGAGCCTGACGTGTGTGTGCTGTTGTGGAGCCTGACGTGTGTGTGCTGTTGTGGAGCCTGACGTGTGTGTGTGCTGTTGTGGAGCCTGACGTGTGTGTGCTGTTGTGGAGCCTGACGCGTGTGTGCTGTTGTGGAGCCTGACGTGTGTGTGCTGTTGTGGAGCCTGACGTGTGTGTGCTGTTGTGGAGCCTGACGTGTGTGTGTGCTGTTGTGGAGCCTGACGTGTGTGTGTGCTGTTGTGGAGCCTGACGTGTGTGTGCTGTTGTGGAGCCTGACGTGTGTGTGCTGTTGTGGAGCCTGACGTGTGTGTGCTGTTGTGGAGCCTGACGTGTGTGTGCTGTTGTGGAGCCTGACGTGTGTGTGTGCTGTTGTGGAGCCTGACGTGTGTGTGTGCTGTTGTGGAGCCTGACGTGTGTGTGCTGTTGTGGAGCCTGACGTGTGTGTGCTGTTGTGGAGCCTGACGTGTGTGTGTGCTGTTGTGGAGCCTGACGTGTGTGTGCTGTTGTGGAGCCTGACGTGTGTGTGTGCTGTTGTGGAGCCTGACGTGTGTGTGTGCTGTTGTGGAGCCTGACGTGTGTGTGCTGTTGTGGAGCCTGACGTGTGTGTGCTGTTGTGGAGCCTGACGTGTGTGTGCTGTTGTGGAGCCTGACGTGTGTGTGCTGTTGTGGAGCCTGACGTGTGTGTGCTGTTGTGGAGCCTGACGTGTGTGTGCTGTTGTGGAGCCTGACGTGTGTGTGTGCTGTTGTGGAGCCTGACGTGTGTGTGCTGTTGTGGAGCCTGACGTGTGTGTGCTGTTGTGGAGCCTGACGTGTGTGTGTGCTGTTGTGGAGCCTGACGTGTGTGTGCTGTTGTGGAGCCTGACGTGTGTGTGTGCTGTTGTGGAGCCTGACGTGTGTGTGCTGTTGTGGAGCCTGACGTGTGTGTGCTGTTGTGGAGCCTGACGTGTGTGTGCTGTTGTGGAGCCTGACGTGTGTGTGCTGTTGTGGAGCCTGACGTGTGTGTGCTGTTGTGGAGCCTGACGTGTGTGTGCTGTTGTGGAGCCTGACGTGTGTGTGCTGTTGTGGAGCCTGACGTGTGTGTGTGCTGTTGTGGAGCCTGACGTGTGTGTGTGCTGTTGTGGAGCCTGACGTGTGTGTGCTGTTGTGGAGCCTGACGTGTGTGTGCTGTTGTGGAGCCTGACGTGTGTGTGCTGTTGTGGAGCCTGACGTGTGTGTGCTGTTGTGGAGCCTGACGTGTGTGTGCTGTTGTGGAGCCTGACGTGTGTGTGCTGTTGTGGAGCCTGACGTGTGTGTGCTGTTGTGGAGCCTGACGAGTGTGTGCTGTTGTGGAGCCTGACGTGTGTGTGTGCTGTTGTGGAGCCTGACGTGTGTGTGTGCTGTTGTGGAGCCTGACGTGTGTGTGCTGTTGTGGAGCCTGACGTGTGTGTGTGCTGTTGTGGAGCCTGACGTGTGTGTGCTGTTGTGGAGCCTGACGTGTGTGTGCTGTTGTGGAGCCTGACGTGTGTGTGCTGTTGTGGAGCCTGACGTGTGTGTGCTGTTGTGGAGCCTGACGTGTGTGTGCTGTTGTGGAGCCTGACGTGTGTGTGTGTGCTGTTGTGGAGCCTGACGTGTGTGTGCTGTTGTGGAGCCTTACGTGTGTGTGCTGTTGTGGAGCCTGACGTGTGTGTGCTGTTGTGGAGCCTGACGTGTGTGTGCTGTTGTGGAGCCTGACGTGTGTGTGCTGTTGTGGAGCCTGACGTGTGTGTGTGCTGTTGTGGAGCCTGACGTGTGTGTGTGCTGTTGTGGAGCCTGACGTGTGTGTGCTGTTGTGGAGCCTGACATGTGTGTGTGCTGTTGTGGAGCCTGACGTGTGTGTGCTGTTGTGGAGCCTGACGTGTGTGTGTGCTGTTGTGGAGCCTGACGTGTGTGTGCTGTTGTGGAGCCTGACGTGTGTGTGCTGTTGTGGAGCCTGACGTGTGTGTGCTGTTGTGGAGCCTGACGTGTGTGTGCTGTTGTGGAGCCTGACGTGTGTGTGCTGCTGTGGAGCCTGACGTGTGTGTGTGCTGTTGTGGAGCCTGGCGTGTGTGTGCTGTTGTGGAGCCTGACGTGTGTGTGTGCTGTTGTGGAGCCTGACGTGTGTGTGCTGTTGTGGAGCCTGACGTGTGTGTGCTGTTGTGGAGCCTGACGTGTGTGTGCTGTTGTGGAGCCTGACGTGTGTGTGCTGTTGTGGAGCCTGACGTGTGTGTGTGCTGTTGTGGAGCCTGACGTGTGTGTGCTGTTGTGGAGCCTGACGCGTGTGTGCTGTTGTGGAGCCTGACGTGTGTGTGCTGTTGTGGAGCCTGACGTGTGTGTGCTGTTGTGGAGCCTGACGTGTGTGTGTGCTGTTGTGGAGCCTGACGTGTGTGTGTGCTGTTGTGGAGCCTGACGTGTGTGTGCTGTTGTGGAGCCTGACGTGTGTGTGCTGTTGTGGAGCCTGACGTGTGTGTGCTGTTGTGGAGCCTGACGTGTGTGTGCTGTTGTGGAGCCTGACGTGTGTGTGTGCTGTTGTGGAGCCTGACGTGTGTGTGTGCTGTTGTGGAGCCTGACGTGTGTGTGCTGTTGTGGAGCCTGACGTGTGTGTGCTGTTGTGGAGCCTGACGTGTGTGTGTGCTGTTGTGGAGCCTGACGTGTGTGTGCTGTTGTGGAGCCTGACGTGTGTGTGTGCTGTTGTGGAGCCTGACGTGTGTGTGTGCTGTTGTGGAGCCTGACGTGTGTGTGCTGTTGTGGAGCCTGACGTGTGTGTGCTGTTGTGGAGCCTGACGTGTGTGTGCTGTTGTGGAGCCTGACGTGTGTGTGCTGTTGTGGAGCCTGACGTGTGTGTGCTGTTGTGGAGCCTGACGTGTGTGTGCTGTTGTGGAGCCTGACGTGTGTGTGTGCTGTTGTGGAGCCTGACGTGTGTGTGCTGTTGTGGAGCCTGACGTGTGTGTGCTGTTGTGGAGCCTGACGTGTGTGTGTGCTGTTGTGGAGCCTGACGTGTGTGTGCTGTTGTGGAGCCTGACGTGTGTGTGTGCTGTTGTGGAGCCTGACGTGTGTGTGCTGTTGTGGAGCCTGACGTGTGTGTGCTGTTGTGGAGCCTGACGTGTGTGTGCTGTTGTGGAGCCTGACGTGTGTGTGCTGTTGTGGAGCCTGACGTGTGTGTGCTGTTGTGGAGCCTGACGTGTGTGTGCTGTTGTGGAGCCTGACGTGTGTGTGCTGTTGTGGAGCCTGACGTGTGTGTGTGCTGTTGTGGAGCCTGACGTGTGTGTGTGCTGTTGTGGAGCCTGACGTGTGTGTGCTGTTGTGGAGCCTGACGTGTGTGTGCTGTTGTGGAGCCTGACGTGTGTGTGCTGTTGTGGAGCCTGACGTGTGTGTGCTGTTGTGGAGCCTGACGTGTGTGTGCTGTTGTGGAGCCTGACGTGTGTGTGCTGTTGTGGAGCCTGACGTGTGTGTGCTGTTGTGGAGCCTGACGAGTGTGTGCTGTTGTGGAGCCTGACGTGTGTGTGTGCTGTTGTGGAGCCTGACGTGTGTGTGTGCTGTTGTGGAGCCTGACGTGTGTGTGCTGTTGTGGAGCCTGACGTGTGTGTGTGCTGTTGTGGAGCCTGACGTGTGTGTGCTGTTGTGGAGCCTGACGTGTGTGTGCTGTTGTGGAGCCTGACGTGTGTGTGCTGTTGTGGAGCCTGACGTGTGTGTGCTGTTGTGGAGCCTGACGTGTGTGTGCTGTTGTGGAGCCTGACGTGTGTGTGTGTGCTGTTGTGGAGCCTGACGTGTGTGTGCTGTTGTGGAGCCTTACGTGTGTGTGCTGTTGTGGAGCCTGACGTGTGTGTGCTGTTGTGGAGCCTGACGTGTGTGTGCTGTTGTGGAGCCTGACGTGTGTGTGCTGTTGTGGAGCCTGACGTGTGTGTGTGCTGTTGTGGAGCCTGACGTGTGTGTGTGCTGTTGTGGAGCCTGACGTGTGTGTGCTGTTGTGGAGCCTGACATGTGTGTGTGCTGTTGTGGAGCCTGACGTGTGTGTGCTGTTGTGGAGCCTGACGTGTGTGTGTGCTGTTGTGGAGCCTGACGTGTGTGTGCTGTTGTGGAGCCTGACGTGTGTGTGCTGTTGTGGAGCCTGACGTGTGTGTGCTGTTGTGGAGCCTGACGTGTGTGTGCTGTTGTGGAGCCTGACGTGTGTGTGCTGTTGTGGAGCCTGACGTGTGTGTGCTGTTGTGGAGCCTGACGTGTGTGTGCTGTTGTGGAGCCTGACGTGTGTGTGTGCTGTTGTGGAGCCTGACGTGTGTGTGTGCTGTTGTGGAGCCTGACGTGTGTGTGCTGTTGTGGAGCCTGACGTGTGTGTGCTGTTGTGGAGCCTGACGTGTGTGTGCTGTTGTGGAGCCTGACGTGTGTGTGCTGTTGTGGAGCCTGACGTGTGTGTGCTGTTGTGGAGCCTGACGTGTGTGTGTGCTGTTGTGGAGCCTGACGTGTGTGTGCTGTTGTGGAGCCTGACGTGTGTGTGTGCTGTTGTGGAGCCTGACGTGTGTGTGTGTGCTGTTGTG